AGAAAATTCTTTCCAGATTATCAGTGAGTCATTACCTTAATGTTTGTTTGGAAAAAGAATGAGTGAATGATACCTACTACCTTGCATCGAATTTTACATTTATCAGAGAGCCCTGTCATCTGTTATTCTACTTCCTAATGACAGTTCAGAAATAAAGCAACAACCAGGGAATGTATTCTATGCCATGCATCATGGGTAATAATTCCCCCATAATAAATAAAGAACTGATATTGATGTTTTAATATTATAACTGTATTTAATAAAACAGTTAATGGACTTTCATGACATAGAAGGAAACTAAAGCAATAAAGTATGACATATTTCTCTTATTTGACAAGGCACATGGAAATGGGCTTCCTTAGATTGTGGTTCCCCAGCTATGAACAAATTCCCAATTTGTCCCTAGTCAGAAGTGACTACAGCAAAAGATAGGCCTGAAACCAAGAGAGAAGGAGCAAGAAGAGATGCTACATGTAAGGAACTCTGAGCTACATCTACAAAACTCACAGTTATACCTTCACAATACAGGAATACCCCTTCCGGGCTAATAGGCTTTGGCACATATCGTAGTAAAAAAGTGCAGAGGTGGTGAAGATGTTATAGTGAATGTCATTTTTAGCACAGTCAAGAAGAAAAAGTTACACCAGTTGTTTTGGCTATCAGGCAATGTCATGTCTAAGTCTTTGAGTCACGTATGTGGTCCTAGAAGTTTAGGTACCTCGGCAAGATCTCAAACTCCTTCACTCTCACTGCTCACTTGGTGAATTATAACTGGATAGATGTCTTGCAGGGTGTGTGATTCTATGTTTCTGTGGAGAAAGAAAAGTTACGCTTCTATGTGATAAACAAGATAATCACACTCTACCTTGGGCTATGTCCCCTCTATAATTTAATTTACTCCTAAAAAATATAAATAAAAAATTGGCCCAAATTTGAAGTGAGATCAACATGAGCATTAAGATGTTTCACTTGCACTGTTTAATATCCCCCCAGCTCAAAGAAAAGAGAAGAATAAAAGTTCTTAAACTTTTACTTCTTAAACTCTACCCTAGCATATCTTCCCATCAATTATACCATAATTTAACTACAAATGAACAAAATAAATGACCAGCAATTCACTCAACAGGTATAGGAAAAAAAAAACAAGACAAAACAAACAAAAAAAAAACACCCAAAAACGGATGGTGGAGTTGAAAATATTAAAAGAGAAATGCCTCAAAAAAGAAAGAACTTAAAAACAACAATGAAATGCTACTACATATCTATTAGAATGGCTAAATCCCTGCTGTGTACCCCACCCATGCATTAGTCATTTAGGCACTGGGGTTATGTTATCAGATCAACTGTCCTGATGTCATAGTGCTTGTGTTCCAGTAACACTTATTTTACTTAATAATGGCACCAAAGCCCAAACATAGTGGTGATGGCCATTCCTATATGCCAAAAAAGAAACCATAAAGTGCTTCCTTAACTTTATGCTTCCTACAGAAAGTCAAAAGGTACGTACCTACAGGAAATATCATAGAATATATAAGAATTTGGTAGTTTTGAAGGTTTCAGGCATTCACTGGCAGACTTAGGACATGTCCCCTTTGGATAAGGGAGGACTATTGTAGTTATAGAACACACTGTTCTCAAGCATCTATGTTGATCATTTTCTACGACCTAGAGAAAGTCTTAGGTGATGCAACATATTGTCACAATAAGAACATTCAGAAATTTCTAAATAAAAGGAAGATGTATAAATTTGAGGAAGTACAATTATGAAAGAAATATTACCAATGCCATTGCAAGTGGGAATTCTTAGGACAATCTTTTTAAAATCAGAGACGAGGACAAAGACAGTCGTGACCACTGTGTCCTTACAATATTGTCCTGGAAGTCCTAGCTGGCACAATTTGCAAAAAATGATAGGGAGAAGGAAAGAAAAAAAAATAACACTGTTCATGTTAGAGTATGTGCAGGGGATGATTACATTATAGAAAAGTCTATATACCAACAAATCCTTGGAAAACATAGAAAAGAGGTAGGAAAATGTATTTAATATAAAATACTTTCTGAAATTACAAAATCCTGATTATTTTGGTGCCTGTATACCTCACTCCACTTGTGTTTCTTGTTCCCTCTGAATTCAATGCCTTTTCTCAGTCACTTGAACTTACCGCACTTACTTCTTTCCACCTCAGGATCCTCACCTAACCATACCCTATCACCTTCAAGTCTGTTTTCAAAGGCCATGTCCTTAAGCTAGCCTAAGTTTACAAAGCATTATACTTCTCCTGCCTTGATTTCCTTCATGGCATTAGCCAAAATTACAACTAAACTTCCTGTACCTATTTGTTTGGTGCCTTACTTCCTGACTATAGCCTACATGAGAGTAAGAATGATGTATATCTTGATTGTGACTGCTCCTCGGTACCTAGTGCAAGTTGTTAATAAATAAGCAATGAAATAATCCAAGAATGCACTCAATGTATTATTCACAGAGTTGAAAATATGTTAACAGATTAAAAGGCAGAACATCTTAAATCACAGTGACAATAATCCCAAATCAAAATATCATTCTCTGGTGGATAATGAATTTAGACTAATCCCCTAATGTGAATTCAGGGAACCCTATTTATAATTACATTTTAGACCAATAGCATTTTAATCTCATAGCTTTCATTTATGTCTGACTCCTACTGATTGCCTGTTCTCCATAGTTACTGGCATTTGGAGGAATGAGGCTCTCCTTTGTCTTATAAAATGTTAAGCAGAATCCATGGTCTTTCCTCACTAATGCCCATAGTGACAACTAAAAATGTTTCCAGATCCCCTGGAAGGAAAAAAAAATCACCCCCCAGCTGAAACTAGAATACTAGTTACTAGAAAAAAAAATAAATGAGAGACAGATAAGATCCTTAAAATAATTTAGAGATGCTAGCTTGTTTTTAAAATCTTGCAAGCTAGAACATATAAGGCAGGGTGTCAAACTCATTTTCGCCAGGGGCCACACCAGCTTCACGGTTGCCTTCAAAGAGCCGAATGTAATTTTAGGACTATAAATGTAAGTACTCCTTAACTAGGGGCATGGAGCTTGGCACTGCCTCCGGGTAGAAACAAAGTGCCAGACCAGATAAAACAAGGTGGAGGGCCAGATTCAGCCCACAGGCCTTGTGTTTGCCCCCTGTGATATAAGACAATACATAACACATAAGATAGAAAACCTTCTTATCAAAATGTAAGCATAACAGTGAATAAATAATAAGACACATAAATACAAACAAATTAGTTATAGCCCAGACACTCATTTCCTAGGGGGAAAATGCATATTCTGATAGATACAGAGTTATAGTTAGGCATTTAAAGAGGATGTCATGGAAAAATAACAGCCTCTACTGTATGTTCTTACCTGGTGTTTGATAACCATGATGTTATCACAATTTTTTTGAGAAAGAATGTCAGATCAAGCAGATCTTTTGCTGAGGCAAAGTTTCTGTCACTCCATAGAAGAAGCTCCCCTGCACCACCCTAGCTCTTTAGGAACTGTGTTGATCTTCCAACCATAGGGTCACATGAACTTTTCTTGATAGTCCTTTTTTATTCTTGAAGGCTGATTCCTTTCCTTAAATGCGATATCTCTTCTTAAAAGGAATAGGCTAATGCAGTCAGCGTTAGTTGTGGGTGCTCCCCAGACATCTTTGGGGATTAACTATAGGTGACTTGAAACCCTCCCACAGGAAGAATTCCAAGTGGCTGAGGATGCAGAAGCACAAAGTGAATGAGTAACCTTTTTCCTAAGATCAGATTGAAGGGAAGAGTTGCTACTGATCTCCTTTCCACATTATAACCACATGACCTTCTTCTTCCAGCTTTCTCTAGACTTTTTGCCTATCTTTTCATAAAGGTATTTCCTATCTGATTTTTCTCAACTATAAAATGATGAATTTAAGCTCCCCACTAACAACAAGGGCATGCTTATAGATTTCAGAGCCCCCCAAAGTTTAAAAGCTTTAGAAGTCTCAAAGACCAATCTGTATCAGGTGACCAGAGTGATGGGTCAAAGTTCTTAAAATAGTATGTTAAAAATGACAAGCCAAGCCCTGGCTGGCATAGGTCAGTGGATTGAGCGCAGCCTCTGAACCCAAGTGTCGCAGGTTTGATTCCCAGTCAGAGCACATGCCTGGGTTGCAGGCCACGGCCCTCAGCAACCACACATTGATGTTTCTCTCTCTCTCTCTCTTTCTCCCTCCCTTCCCTCTCTAATAATAAATAAATAAAATCTTTTAAAAAAATGACAAGCCAACAGAGAGTCAAAGAAAGCACTCCTCCATAGCAGATTATATTTCAACAAACTATAGGAAACATATTTCCAAGTTTTCAAAGACATTTGCTGAAATCACTAACTGATCCAATAATCTTGTCTGCCTTTTTGTAAGTTAAAAATTAAAGTCCTGATGTCCAGAAATTTAGATATAAAAGCAGCATTTAAGGGCTGGTTTGCTGTAAAATCAGTGACTCTTGATTAGGTTATGTTTGTAGAGTTTCATTTAGGGAGATGAGCAAAGGTGTTAAATTAATCCTATCCTCAGGGTTGAAGGAACTTAATCATTCATTATTAACACCTATCTAAAGACCTCCAAAATGTAATCCTTAGAAGAAATGAGTGTGTTCTTTAGAGACTCAATATACCTCAGCAGCTGGAGCTATACATTTGGGTCAAACACCTGAAACTCAAGCAATTTGGAGAAAGGAAGACCTCAACAAAACTGGGGATCCTTTTTTATGCAGGAGAAAAGGGGGCAGAGGTGGACAGTGTTGGTTAGAAAGCCAAGAATGGTTTCTGCAGACTGTAAGAGCTTTCCTGTGTCTCTGCTTTCCAATTGTGTCACATGCCCGCTCAAGCCTGTTTGGCTCCAGACACGCTGTTATTGAGCCACAACCTGAGTCCAACTTTGCTTAGACCTTTGTGTCTTCTGGGCAGAGGAATAAACTCCAAGTTTTCTTCCCTCAGAAAAATGGACTCAGACATGTCACAAGCCTTTCAAGAAGAACTTGCCTGTATCCTCTGCCTGAATTACCTTACAGACCCAGTCACCACGGGCCCTGGCCACAGTTTCTGTTGGTCGTGGCTCTGTGCATTCTGGGAGAAAGCTGAAAGCCCTGCACACTGCCCTGTGTGCAGAGAACCATCAGAGCAGACAAACTGTGAAACCAATATTCTTCTGAAAAACCTAGTGTCTAATGGCAGGAAAGCCAGTCTGCGGCCGTTCCTGAGCTCTGCGCACTATAGATGTGGGCTACACAAGGAGACAAAGCAAATCTTCTGTGAGGATGACAGGAGTCTGCTCTGTGTGCACTGCTCTAGTGCTCTGGAGCATGAGGCTCTCAGATGCCGCCCCATAGAAAAGGCTGCTGAGGAACACTGGGTAAGTGCTGCCTCTGAGAGCACAAGGACAGCTGGAGGAGAGTGCAGCCAAGACAACATAAGGACCTGAGAATCATCATGAGGATTATTAAATCCTCTCCTTACTGAGAGTCAAGTACCAACTTAAGTAGCAGAGATGGGGCTGCGAGGAAAATGCAGTTGTATACCTGCCTTCATGGTGGTTGCCTTTAACGGGAGAGTGATTAAGTAAATGGTCATCACTATTTTGATGATACAGCATTGTGCTCAAGTCAGTGGAAAGACCTCATTTTGAGGGAAAAAAAAACCCCCTACAAATGCGAAAAGGATTTTCTATGGGGTACATATTTGTTAATGGAGGACAAAAAGAGAAGGATAAAGTAGATTGGAATTGGCAGGAGACAAGTATCACTAGCTCCAAATTCTGATGCAAGATACCTCAATATCGGAGAAGTAGACATGCTAAGTAAAATCCTGATCAGTTTCCCTAGAAAAATGACTATATTGCACTGTGTGGTTATACAGCCTGAAATCTTCTAAAATTTACCATTAGTGGGAGCAAATAGGGAAACATCAAGATCCTTCTTCTCTCCCTGAAGTACATTTACCTAACATCCCTTGATTATCTCCATCATTAATGGTCTAAAACCTAAATGTATTTGTTTTTCCGGTGCTAAAGTTCTTTTCTTTATTTTGAACGGGCAAAGCTCGCAACCCATATGAGATCTTTATGGGAAAAGATTCCAGAAATTCAAAGAAATCTCAGTAAAGATGGCAGAATATCTGTCAATTGGATGGTAAGTATGAGACTGTATTTCCCTCTGAATCAGGCTGACACAGTCATGAGGGGAAAAGGAACGGTGAACAGAAATTTAAGAAGTGTGCCTGTGGTGGTGAGAATTACAGGAGCTAGAGAATGATAGTGTTTCTAGCAAAAGAAAGTGTAATATTTAAAAAATAAATGAAACCGAGTGAAAGAAGTAAAGAAAACTCTGAGACTGGGGAGGGAGAGAGTGAATCCACAACTTCTGGGAGGGAATAGGCAATGGAATAAAAATCAAAGTTCTTTAAAACCATAGGGAGCCTGTGGCTTCAGATGGAGGACAGGAGCCCATCCACAGAGAAAAGGAAGGCAGAGAAAAGGCTGGGAGGATGGACACCAGTTTAAGGGAAGGTAGTGAGAATTTCAGGAAGATCTTTTCTGATGGCTCCTAATCCTGAGAGTAAAATGCAATAATACTTCCAAGAATAGGAAGAGTTTGACACTAGAGACCAATTTACTAACACAGAAGTCAGAATATTGCATGAAAGAGTTGATTAATTGACAATGAATTTTAATTGCTTGCATGTAGTCTTTCGGAGTTGAGAGGCTGAGTGTGAAAGAAATTAGCAATGAGGAGCTTTCCTCCAGTTCTTTCAGGAGTTCATGAAGTGGGTGGAGGTAGTTTGAGGGAAGCACATAATTGGCTGTTGGTATAGTTTAAGAGAATGGAAAATAAGTGAAGGAAAGAGGAATTCTGACAAGTGGGGGAACCTGAGTTTAGGATACATGAAGCTTCTTGGTAGAGAACATGAATCAGTACAGCATCTGCTGTTTCAGTGGAGGTGAGTAAAGTTTGCCCGAGTGTGTGATCTAGGACATCCATCTCTCTGCAGGCGTATCTCCACGGATGCCAAGATGAAACCAGGGCTTTTCTGAGACACTGCAACTGGTTCTCCATGAGGGAGAAAAACTATTTAGAGAGTCTCAGTAAGGAAGGGTCAAAAATGTTTGAGCAACTTGAGAAACTTGAGGCCGAAATGGCTGAAAAGAAGATCAACCTAGGCCCTGGCTGGTGTAGCTCAGTGGATCGAGTGCGGGCTGCGAACCAAAGTGTCGCAGGTTCGATTCCTAGCCAGGGTACATGGCTGGGTGCAGGTCATAACCTCCAGCAACCGCACATTGATGTTTCTCTCCCTCTCTCTCCCTCCCTTCCCTCTCTAAAAATAAATAAATAAAATCTTAAAAAAAAAGTAGTTAAAAAAAAAAGAAGATCAACCTAACAGCAATGTATGACGAGCTCATGAACATGTGTCTGAAACCAGATGTAGAGTTGCTTAAGGTGGAAATGGAGCATTTGCCTTGGAATGTTTTGTATTATTGGAAGCACACACCATTGATCTCCATCATTTATTTGATACCGAAAGTATATATTTCTTCATCTCCTGCATCCATGGTGGAGAGTGGCTCCCACTTGGGACTAATATAATCTTCTCCTGACCTAACCATGCAAGCAAATGTGATGGAATTGTGATTGTGGGGATTCCACAAGGAACATTTTCCTTCTCAAAATCTACGTTTGTTTCTTGTTTGAGTAAACACCAGAAAGGAAGAACTTATTCAAGGTCTTTTAATTCCGGTCTGCAAGTGGGCAATGTAGAAACATTTGGTAAAAGCCCTCATATATTACCCCTGATGTGATATCATTGGTTTCATTAGCCATTAATTTGGGGCGTATTAATCTTTCAGGACAAGCCTTAGGAAAGACCCCTATGCACAGAGCTGAGAGTAACAGCAATGCACAGCCACTTCCCTCTTTTCACACTCAGTGTTCCGAATTCTTCAAGAACATAAAAACAGACATCAAAGAGATGGTTACCAAAAGTAGGGGGTGAGGAGAACGGGTAAAAGGGGGGAAGGGGAATATAGTCAATAATATTGTGATAAGCATACTCGGTGACAGATGATTACTACACTTAGTGTTGTGATGACTTTGTAAGGTATAAAAATGTCGACTCATTAATACTGTACACCTTAAATTAATATAACCAATATATGATTATATACCAATGATATGTGAGTAAAAAAATAAAATTAAAAAAAATATTTACAAAAGAATTTAGATTCTGACCAGATATGGTCAGGATTCTCTTAAGGGAGGAAAAGGAGAATAAATTTTCAAGGCAGTTTGCAGGTGGTAGCGATCAGCACTTTTCCAAACGTCCCCAAACCCAGACTGGTTTGGCAGAATATCCTACTTGTGAAGAAGCCTAAGTTTCTCTTTTCGTTTTTGACATGAGTTAGGAGATGAACTGAGAAGGTGAGCTTGTTCTTCAATGCTAACTTGGGTTCATGAGGGTCATGAAAGTGATCCAGCCACTTCTAACAAAGTGAAGATATAATTTCTTGGAGTATTTTCAATTGTTTGTGTGCTCACCTGTTTGTATGTGTTTTGCAGTCTGTTTGTATATGTTTTTCTGCTCCTCTTGATCCGAAGTTAGTATTTTTTCACATCTATGGCTGAAGGAGCTATGTGTTGTCAGGCTCAATGCAAACCTTTCTATAAGACTAGTCATTTATGGTTTTATATTTCACAATCAATATGAACTGAGAGTGCAAAGACTAGATTTATTCAGAATTAAGTAAGAGAGGCAAGTACCTCTGAGAAATGAGGGTGGAAGTAGGAAAAGGAGAAAAGTAAGAGAGAGTCCCTAAGAATAGCACAATTCTATCTCATGAAAGGATTGTGATGAAGAACATTCAGTTGAATGATGATGGCACCAGAAGATTAATTGCATCTTCCCCTTTACAGGAGTGAGCAGGTACAGGTGCAGCTTCACATGCCTCAGCCTCTGAGGACCAGCCTCCCTGCATGGCCCATTACTGGACTGATGGGCAGGCTCAACTGCTTCCAAGGTGAGTGTTGCCCCATTCATTGGTGGGACCACCTGACAGGGTTCTTCAGTTATGATTGTTCTATGGATGATCTTTTCCTCTTTCTTGCAGAGGAGAACAACCTGCCAAGTGGCATGTATAGTTGTACTTAGTCATGGAGTCACTATAATATGGTAAAAGATAAAATCAAAGCTGCTGTAATGATAGATGTGACTCAGTCCTTATCAATTACTTATAAATACGATGTTACTTATATAATGAGAAAAAGACATGTACCAAAAAAGGGCTTCTTGAGTCGTAGAAATATCATCACCCAAAATGTCAGTTGTTCACTGAGCCATAGAAAACTGGATGGCAGTTCAAGATATTCCAATTTAAAATAAGAGCAGTGAATTAGGTTTTAAATATTTTTAGTAATTGGACTTATAATGTGTGGATTTCTGATTACAATGGATGTAATCAGAAATAATCATAAATGTAAAAAAACCCTAAATGCAGAAACAAAGATTTTTATGAATAATAACAATAAAGGAAATTGGTGGTCAGTGAGGCCACACATAGAGCTCCATGGTAAACCTGAACCTGGAGGGTTAATATGTCAGGTAGAGGAAGAGTAAGTTCTCAGGTGGAACCAGTTATCAGAGGCAGACAATTAGTATGAAATCACTTCTAAGGAGGCCTTTAGGTTTCTTCTTTAGTGTCACCTTGCTTAATTAACTGGAATATTGTCAACTGGAATGTTATCATATCCTGGAAAAGTAATCTCTGTTTATTTAACCTAAAATTATTTTTGTCCCCCCAAGAAGGGGGTGATTGAGGTAAGTTTTATTGCTATGGACTTGGTGGCACTGCCCAGGTGTCCAGCTTTTCAGGCGTCATGATAAGTAACCAGTCAGAAGTAGACATGACCTTCTTCTCTTCTCTGATCTCTGGATTTTAGGGAGATTTTTTTTCTATTATAATTAGATATTTGTCTCTTCAGCAGATAGCGTTAGCATTGCTTGAATCCAATATTTTTCATTCAGAACTGCCCTTCTAAGAATGTTGGGATATTCTTTTTCCAGTGAGACACTAGGGAGATGCTTTTTCTCATAGAGAATTTTATTTTTAACATTGACTTTGACTGTAATATTCTCTTTTCTTCACAGTGGAAATTTCCTTCACTAGTGAAATAACCAACTGCAATTATCAGGCTGTTTGATGATGTGAGAAGTCTGAGGTTTATGCATGACCATCTATATGTGTCTCTGGCTCCTAGAACATTGAACTATTTTGCTGCATGGGGAGCACAGGTCTTCACCTCTGGCAAACATTACTGGGAGCTGCATGTGGACAAGTCTTGGGACTGGGCTGTAGGGGTCTGTATGGAGACCTGGCTGAGGAAGAATGGCACACTGATTGACTCTCAGGATGCATTTCTCCTTTCACGTGTGAAGGAGGAAAATCATCACACTCTCTGGACCACTGCCCCAGTGACTCGTCAGTACATCTGGGCAGGGTTGGTGTGTTCCTTGATGTGGACAGTGGAAGTGTAAGTTTTATGGATCTTGTGAAGTGTTCTTTCATAAGGCATTCCCTCATTACACCTTCCCCACTTCGGAGGTGTCTAGAGGACATGCTCAATTTCCTCTTTAGGTCTTTCATTCACACACTGGCCACACATGAGCAGGGCTAAGTCAGGGAACTGACTGTGTACCTGGGATGTCTGTGCTGAGGAAGCCCTCCTTGGTTGAAGCCTATCAATGATACTTGACATTCCTTTATGCTTTTTTCTACTTTAATGTAACCTTCTTTTGCTGTGAGTCAATATAAAGATTGTACAAAATGGAAAATTTTGTTAGTTTAATTTTCTTGACATTAGAATTATGTCTTATCTTGGCCTATTATCTTGAATATATGCTGTGACTTTTTATGTTTTGTGAGTTTGCTGGAGTTATTTATCAAAATATATATCAGTGTGCAATTACTATTCATGGCCAAAATCCAGGAATGGAAGGTTTGCATATTCTGGGCATATCTGGTTAATTTATCTGCTATGCCTGTCTGCAACTTTCTACTCCTTCCCCTTTGTCTAGTTAATCCTACTAGCCCACTCACCCTCTAGGGAAAAACTGAGTTGACAAAGAAGTTTCCACAGAGTTTCAGAAATGGGGTAAGCCTTCATTTTAGAGAACCTAGAATAAGCTGGTCCTTTTCTTTTTCAACAGAATAAATGATAAGAGATAAAGGGACAAAGTGTCTTCCATTCACAGCTGCATTCTTAGCAGCTAACACATTAGCTAGGACATCAGGGGTGCTTAGCAAATCCTTGAATAAATAAACAAATGGATGAGAGTATTACCTTACCTGAAAGGAGTTTTGCTGAAAATTTTCAGGATTTAAAGGTTGATGTAAAAAACTGATAAAATTATGCAAGTTAAGTTGAAACTCCATTGACTTCTCACTGGTGTGGAAAAATGATATTTCTGTGTGGGATGCAGCAATTATAGACACTCACTAAGCACAGAGTCTAGGTGTGTGTGTACATGTGTGTTTCAGTCATGGCAGTCATACATCGTTGTTACTTTATTTAATATCATCTTCAGGGCCATGAGTGATAGAATGGGAGACAGAAGAACAAATACAGACATAAGCTCCCTGCGCTCTTTCTCTTTCACCATCATACAGTATTGTATTGGTTTTTGTTTTTATTGGTCTTGTCCCACACTAAATTGCAAATTCACCTTATGTTTATTGTGATTCCTGTTCTAAGTACAGCAGTGGGTAGTGGAAATTGTAACTAATACATCCTACTCTTACAATTTTCAGTCTAGCAGTAATAAGCATCTACCAATTTGATCAAAGTTTGCCAACTCTTATGAGGACATGGTATAGTATGCTCAGAGAGTTTGGATTAAAAGGAATTACACTGGTCTGTAGGGTCAGAGATGACATACTTTAAAAACGATTATTTTAGCTAAGAGGTGATGGGTGACTTTTATGGTATATAACTTTTCTTTTTTTTTAAGATTTTATTTATTTATTTTTAGAGAAGGAAAGGAGGGAGATAGAGAGAGAGAGAGAGAAACATCAATGTGCGGTTGCTGGGGGTCATGGCCTGCAACCCAGGCATGTACCCTGACTGGGAATCGAACCTGCGACACTTTGGTTCGCAGCCTGTGCTCAATCCACTGAGCTACGCCAGCCAGGGCTATAATTTTTCATAATACAGCTGTTAGTTTAAAAACTGCCATTGAGCCCTCGACTGTATTCTAGGAAGCTCTCCATTGTAAACATTTTATTAAAATTTTAATAAGCACATTTATACATTCAATGTGGTTATGCCACTTTATAAACATACAATAATTATGTTTCCTGACGTTACAATTTGCTCCAAGACAGTCAGGTATCAACCTGCTGCCTCACAGGACATTTCATAAAAATAGTTTCCTTAGATATGGAACTTTACCAAATAAGTTGTCCAAACTTAACTTCTCATGGACAATCAAAGCATAGGAAAGGCTTCAGAGGGGAAGAGAAGGGAGGAGAAACTACACTACTTATGAGGGAACCTTTTTCAACATCATAGAAGCTCACAGTTGCATTGTCATAATCCAAAAACACTCCAATCTTACCCAGAGGCCTTTTCACATACTGAATTGAGGGTGGGCAGTTAGTGGAGAGACAATAATGGTCATTCACTTTCAAAAAACATAGAAGAGATGCGTCTTCATAATCAACAATAATATCTGTATCACTTATCAGGGAATCTTTACACACTCCCAGAATCCACATCGAGCAGTGCAGCTTATCCACCTCCCAGTAATGTCTACCAGCGGTAAAGGTATGAGTTCCCCATACCGCAAAACTCTGCACTCTCTGGGGCTCTCTGGATGCGCTGTCATGGTCATCTCCAAAATTCACACTAACATCCTTAGAAAGGCTGATACGGCGACTAATGGTTTCCTCACTCAGAACATTATCCACTGCAAAAGAAGCAAAACAAAACAAAACAAAACAAAACAAAAACCAGGTCAATGAGTGGAATTTCCATACCTTGAGGGACAGTCTCTTCATTTGCCCTCCTCTAAGGGAATACAAAATAAAGACAGTAAAGGGAGTTGAGACTGGCTCCTCTACCAGGACCAAAAGTTATCACTACCTCTACAGCCCAGAAATCCTTTAACTTATACCGAAAAAAAACACACAAAAAAACAAAGCAAAATAAAAACCCTCTGCATATGTTATGAACTGTGTAAAGTAGTGATTTAATCTCAATCCCTAGACAGTTTGTTTCAGGTCACACCTAAAACTTTTTCATCACTTTAGAAATCCCTTCTTGTGTTGATTGTCCTTGATATTATTTAGTAAATAGATAGCACTTTGCTATTTGAGGGTAATTATTGGAATATAAGTTGTACCTGTTATATATTCAAGAATCAAAATATTTCATAGAAATTCACATTGTAGATAAACTAGAAGTGTCTGAAGGGAATGTTCTGGCTTTACATGATCTGTTTAGACCTCACAGTCAGCCTGAAGGCCTGCTGTCTAGGAAGGGCCTGATATGGTAGGGCAATGTTCACAGATCCTTCTCCTGTCGGTGGTTTTGAAATGGATCTAACAGCATTAAAATTATTCTGCTTATGACAGTTTCAGTTATTTTTTGGACTTTCTGATCTTATAAATAATAATTTGTGCAATGTATGATAAATGCACTTGCAATATACAACAGGCTGAAAACCATCAATGCCATATTTAAATTTTCAAGAATGTTTGAGACTGAATAAACTACAATATTGATTGTTACTCTGGGAACTAAATATTCTATTTCTTCATAACCACATGACTAATCTCATTGCTCCTCTTCTAGTCTTCTAGTCTTCATCAAAGTCTACATCAATGTAATTTAAAAAGGCATCTTGCTTCATATTTTCAATATTCTATAAATTGCAAAGTTCAGCCTTGGTCATTGTGATATGACTATACAGGAGGTAGATAACAATTTTGGAAAGTCATGTACCACCTTCATGTCAGAAAAAAATATACAAAATTAAAATAGAAGACTCAGTCTTAAGAACCACTGAAGAAATGGAGGCCTGATGCCAAAGGGCTGACTCTTACCTCTGAAGTTGTTCAGCATATCTTGGATTCCAGTGAAGCGCCGTAAAGGGAGCTCTGGATTCATGGGCTGGGGCTTTTGCATCTGCACCAATTCAGTTCTGTAAAGAATGACAGCAGGGGAATTTAGGACTGAAGGCTAATCACACAATCGTTACAAAAAATCACAGCTTTTAACCCAAGATATTTCACCAGAAGCCTCCCATTGAGTTAATTGGGTATACATTGTTTTTTACCCCTTGGGCATATAAGAAATGTTACTTTTTTTATCAGTTTAAGTTATATCAAATTTCAACTTTCCCATTTTTTTTCCAGATATTACCCCTTTTCTGAAATTGAGAATCATTTCTTCCTTGTACTCCACCTCAGGAAATGCAAGATTCCTGGGTATCTTATAGAGAGCACAAAATTCAGGAAAAGCCTGTGGAACTTGAGTCTGCAAGTACCGTATTTTGCCCTGTATAATGCACATTTTTTTGCCCAAATCATTGAAAGAAAAATAAAGATGCTCATTGTACATTGATAGTACTAATTCTATATCTATATGAATGTTTTTAATTCTCTTATTTACGCTTATGCATTAAAAGTATAGCTCTAAGAAGCAGTAACTATAGCTGAATGCAAAATAACAACTTGGAAAATGATACTCTGTTTTGTTTCAAAGTATAAATCAATAAATAATTGATTAAAAAAATGAAAACAAAATGTTTTTTTCCTGAAAGTTTGGGCCAAAACTATAGATGGAAGTGCATTATACCCAGCAAAATACGGTAGTTTTCAATGAAACATTCAGTGTCCAAAAGGGAAAAATCTACATAGCCAGACAGCTTTGCTCTTTTTTTCCACCAAGCAAGTGAAAAAACTCTAACCTGGCAGGCCTGCTCCTGAAGGTTGCACTTCCTGAGGGCACCAGGAGGTCACCCCCCCCAAAGTGGGGACACTTTGCAAGGGGGGACATGCATTGATGGAACAGGCTGAGTCATTGCTACTCCTGGGAACAAAAGCAACACCCCCCTCTCCTATTCCACTCCAAGGAGAGCTCCCTCTTCCTGTCCTTTTCACCTTCCATCTCCAGTAGTACCTTACAAAAGTCCCTTCAGAAATGTTTATTGTGATGTCTGGAGAGAATGGGGGTGAGTGACTAGAACAAAGTCCAGAAGGTCAAATGGTTTTTAGGTATGTTGGAATGCAGACACATCAGGAAGAAACTTCTGAGACCAGAGTGCCCCAGGGCTTTCTTATTTTTTTTAAACAAAACGGAAAATAGCCATTGAGGACAAGGTTTATAGCTCAAGTATTGTACACCCACTTCATCAAGAAGACAATGATTTCTTAGAAATCATCAGTGTAAACTCACCTTTCCAATATATTTCCCAAATCCTGCAAAACAAACAAAAAAGAAGGTAAACATGTGAGTTCTGGCTTTTATGCCTTTTCTAGTATGTTTTAATAGTTTTCAGGGTTTGTTTTAGTAAAGTATTTTTCCCTATTCTTTTTTAAGGAATAATCAGAGGCCATCTCTCTCTTTCTGTCTCTTTCTGAGGGGGGTGAGAGAGAGAGAGGAAGGGAAGAAAA